TAACATTCATGCTCGACCCAGCCATTACAGATATTACGAATAATGCAATTAAATGTTATTATATATAGCGGCCGAATTAAATTTTTACACGAGTTACAGGTGTATGAGTGAGAAAGAACAGAGATCAAAGAAAAAAAATAGACACTGGTTTAATACTAGAAAAATCCGTTATACTAATAGCTGCATTATTCGTTTGGTAAATTGTTATGAGATAAAAAGTGCATACATAAATTCTCATTGCCTTCTACTAAAAATATAATACTTATATCTATATTTTAGAATCATATTATTCATATATCATGAAATTATATAGATATAAAATTAAATGCAGCTATTAATATGCACTATACAAATATGTACAAAGAAAATTGCAAATCAAGACTATATCTTGAACCCTATAAAACACGATTAATAAGGAATTCTTTTTAGAGAATCTTGGGTTCAAAATATATTTGTAATGCAAAAAAAATTTACACACTTTATATCGTATAAAGATGCAGCAAAAAAAAACATAGCTATGATTATATTCTCAAATGCTACCACTTATGATGCAAGCTTCCATACAGCATTGAAAAAAGTCATAAAAAATGCAAGCATTTCGAGAAATTTTAGGTTTGTATAACTATATTTACAAAAAGATCGCGAACTCAATGCAACTCTGATATTCGCCAGTAAAAATTCTGAAAGATTTGAGATAAAACTGTTTACTGGAAACTCTCAGAATTACATTGTAATTTTTATTAAATATACGACAAAATAAATAAATCTTATTCATTTCACACAAATAATAATACTAAAATATGGAAAATAATCTATTGGAAAACTACAAGCAGTAGAGACGCGTATGTAAGAGTATCTTACCCTCGTCTTGTTTATAATTGAATATAATTGCTCACTGCTTTGCTTATAAAACGAATGCATAAGTATAAGAAAGAGAAATTGCGGTATTATTATTTTTCGCAGCCAAATGTATAAGTGTAAAATGAGTAAAAATGCGTTATTCACATATCATTAAAACATGGACAAGAAAGATCTCTCTGTATCAGATGTACAAAATTTGATTTAAAAAAATAGGTATGCATTTTGAGTGTCAGTTTAAAAGTATCATTCGTCATTTTAGCATATTAAATGCATACTGCGTTAAAACGAATTATTGTTAAACTTACCATCGAGGGCGACAGTTGGGGATGCACTCGCTCGCAGAATATGTTCCACCACAATTGCAACAGCGGTTGCAAATGTGCCGCTCCAGGTGGTGGCTCGACGGTACCGGTCAGGGTATCGAAATACTGTAACCACGGTTTCGTTATGCCGATAAAGTGTATTATTCTCACGTCGTCGCCGAATCTAGGAATGTAAATGAGAATTAGAAAACGGAAAAGAATTTAATCGTGGCGAATCGAAAGAGCGCGAGCGCTTACTGTTTAAATGCGGGAAGGTAGGAGTACGTCGCGGTGGAACACATGTTGTAGATGAACGGTAGATGTTTGGAGATGTCCTTACTGGCCCAGTCGCTGAAGTACATGTTCAATAAGCCTTGATCGCCGCCGTCGAACGAGCCCTTGGCGGCGGCAAACGCGGTGATTGACGCGAACGTTTGTTGAGACGGTCTGAACACAAATACTCCGGAATTAAAGCAGTCGGGCCAGCCGACATCAGGCGCGGCCGATAATTCCTCTCGCTCAAATAACTCATCGCAATTTCGTATGACCTAAAAACATGAAACATATCTACAGTGACGTGATAGTTTAACTCGTATAACAATTTTGCTTGTCTTTTATACTGCATATTATTTTGTTTTATTATTAAATAATATTAACTCGCTTTTCAAATGTATTATATCAAAAAATTAATAATAGTATAGAATTAAAAGCTCGAATATTATAATTCCAATTCCAATTTTAACGTCAGTTTTAGAAGTAAAAATAATATAAAATAAAGAGTACGTAACAAATATATTAATTATAATTTGAATAAAATTTCGGGTTACTCACAAGCGTGTCTGCGTCAACGAATACACACTTCTCGTACTGAGTTAGCCTCCAACAGTGCAACTTGGTAAACGTGATGCCCAACTCTGGTCTAGCTAACAAGGCCAGGTTCGCCTCGTCCTTCGAGTCGAGAACATTGACTTCCTGCACCAAGGAGAATACTGCCGCCAATTTTTCCCTGGCGCAAAAAAAAAAACACTGATTACACATTGCAATTAAAATCTGATCGTACGTCATTGTGTAGAACCGTTTTTGCTCGTTGATTGTCCTACTTATTAATATATTAAGCCTGTTAACTTGACTAATCTTATGAAGTTTGATTCTTTGAGAGAGAACCTCTTAATTCCAAAAATTACTAATATTTCAAAATTTGAAAGCTTGGCGAAACAATACGCTGTTACTAATTTAAAGCACGATTCTGATCTCACGATGCTGATACATCTTTCATGAGTTTTATTAAATAAACTATAGACAAAAACTAATCCCAACAAATTTAAATAATTCTTATGAAAAGTATGTTCGAGTTTTTTGTTGTAATAACACGAATAACAATCTAATGTCGAATAAGTACGAATGCTACGAAAATATTTTCGTCTTTATTTTCCCCAGTACGAATCGGCATGCGTATGACGTGTTGCCCTCCGGTAATCGCTGTATTGAACTTGGGCAAGGACGATACCTCATGGTCGCCGTAACTCCGGGAGTGACCAGGCAGGCCAGGTCGTGCCTGGTGCCGACCCGACGTAGCGAGTGCGCCAGGACCAGCGCGCCCAGGGAGTAGGCATCGTTCGTAGCCAGTGTAACCCATGCATATCCTGAAAGACGAAGAAAGACCCGATAAAACGCTTGACGGGGCATTCGCTTCTATTCGACGCACCCGGGCCGCGATCTATTTTAGATGCTATTAGACGCCGGTGAGGCTGACGTTTAAATCTACGTCGCTGCATCCAGTGGACGTGTCCAGAACACGTGAATATAAATGCGCACGCGATAGAATATTAGTGTCGTCCAAGGCCATCTTGACGAATCTTTAAGTCCGAAAATTCAATACAGACATCTTATTACAACTAAAAATTGTTTTTCCTCCATTATATCTGCCTTCGGCTGAAGACATTTAAGGAAAAATTTGCTTCTTCATTTCTTCTTTAGTCTCTCGCGTTTGCTGAACGTCAAAAACGTCGATTAATTTAGTTCGAATTATGAACGATTAATTTTGTTCAATTAATCTAGAAATTACACATTTCTTTTTTAAATTTCCACGTGCATTTTACAATAAATACGTAAAGAGCTTGATTCAGAAGTGGCGAGAAAGAAGTTCAGCGTTGTGACAATGTGTTTTTAACGAATAGCGTCGCTAATGAGCTGTATCTGGTGAGAGTCTCGCGAGACTTAGAAAATAAATGGCACGTATTTTGTATGTAAATACGTTCTTGTGGGATGTCCTTCGATTCAATTCCGAGGCAGCACGAGAAAGACTAATATGTGCGAAGCGAATTTTGACTTCGCGCGCTGATAAGCGGTAAAAGCCGAGTTAATTTCACGGTTAACGCTGACTCCCAAATTAACCGCAATATCTTACGTAAGCGCAATAAAGATAGGCTGTAAAATTATGCCAACGAACTCCGCGAAGTTCAAATGTTATCGCGTATGCCGTATATACATTTTACAAACGTGCACTTTTATACAGGCGTCGATACCTCAGATTCACGAAAGAAAAAGAACTATGTAAACCGCTGCGAAGGGATTGCAACGACGTGAGAAATGTCTATTACTTTTACGAATGACAAACAAAAAATATTACTGTGCTTTGCAATGTTCATAAATCAGAGTGATCGATGTTCTAAATTTTTTATCAAATTCTTGGCAAATGTGAAAAATTGCGTCGCTACCGGTGTCTGGAATAAATATCGGTGTCTTCGTAGATACAAAAATTCGGGTGCATCCCCGACGCGGTCCTGCCGCGAGAGCGCAGAAGAATGCAAGCAGAGAGACGCCAGACGAAAGGTAAAAGCCGAAAACGAAGGTGACGTTGGCAGCCTCCCAAGTCCGGATATAATTAGAGCTCTCTCGCATCGGTCTCACTTCCTCCTGACGCGACATCAAGAGAGCTTTAATTGTAAGCAATTATTTCTCGCGACATTTATGTTCGCGACTGCGTTTCGCATCATAGACATGCTACATGTCCTTAAAAGAAGAAAATTTTCAGTGATCCCTAGCAGATTATCTTTCCAGTGGACAAAAGTTTTATGAAATAAGATAAATCCTTGCTTTTCTCTGATAATTTCAAAATAGATTTCTCATACACGGGGGGATCCAAAAGCTCTCGAACTCTTAATAGTCTTTGCTGTAATAAAATTGCCACATTTAGCGATTAAATTTTCACATTCACTTCTACAAATATTTTTGAGTATATTTTATTACTGGAAAAGTAAGTAAATTCTTGCAAATGTGTTTCTGGCTGCGGTTCTACTTAACACTACAAATGCTTCGAAGCATTCCTTTCCTCCTTTCTTTCAGTGAAGAAAGAAGAAGAAGAAGAACGCTTCAAAGCATTTTGTAGCGTCAAATGGACTGCAGCCTTTATAAGGCAGCAGATCTAAAACGACGCCTATATGCAAACAAATGCAAATGCATTGCTTTCGCGCAACCACTCATGCGCGGTTACGCAAATCGTTTATTAAACGCATGACAACGGAAGCGGCGTTTAAGTCGCAAAATCCCAACCTTGGAGCACGTGCAAAAATTTTTACCTACGCAGTGAAAACTTGGCAGAGCGAGGGAGACGCAGAGGCGTACCTCGTGTTTTTCACAGGCGCAAAATTATCGCGCATTTATTTATAACGTATATCCTATTTCTATTTGATATCTATTTGATACTATCCTCATCCGCGCGCGTGAGCAGACCAGCGGATTTTGGCTGTGCTCTATTTTCCCCCCTGGATAAAACACGTCACCCTATTCTTAGGTGGATCTACGACGGGACTCGGCCTCCGGTCCCCCGCGATCGTCTTTTGCAAAATTGCAAGATACTTGGTGCATGATTTATAATCTTGTTGCGTGATCTTTAAACCGTCGCATTTGCGCATTTATTTGAATCGGAATGGAGGATGAGAAAGATGATTACGTTAGAACATTCTGCCTCGGAATCGTACATAATAATAATTGTATGTATAATTATACTCTTCAAACGTACTAAATTTAACGCAGTCGACTTTCTTACGCGCCGATAAAGACAATAATAAACAAGACGAAAGAATGGCGCCAAGATGTGCTTGGCGGTGCACAACTCATCGGTTCGCTATCGGTTCGTTATCGGTTCAAAGTTCGTCGATCGGTCGGAAAAAGATCGCTAGAAGTGGACAATATTTGCTATTAAATATCAAGGAGACTGATAATTAGACACACTTGTGACGTAAAATGATGTATCAATATATATACATATATATAGATATAATACACGTAGTGTCCCCTAGATCAAGAAAATATTTTGAATGAAACATCCGCAAGCATACACTACTAAATATTAAAGACAGAAATTCAAATCAATATATCTTGAGTTTTGTTATTTTTAACTACCATGTGTGTGTCGAAATTTGTTGCACTGCAAATCCAAGTGTGTTATTTTAGCTAAAGCTCTTCTTACACATTTCTTGCAGTTTTAAACACGTCATTTTAACACAAAAAAAACATGTAAAAAGAGCTTCAGTCTAATGCGTTATGTTTTTTTTAAACGTTTATTCGTGTAAAAATAACATACTTAGATTTGCAGTGTACTTGTATTTTAACACAAAACAATATTTTAACTCCATTAATTTGGTTAAATTAACATTGTTTCAATTAAATTAACGACATATTGAGTAGGAAGTGTGGCGACCTATATAAGAATGATTAAAAATAATTCAAATTGAATATAATTTTACACTACGAATATAACGGTATAGATGCGAAGTCCATTTTATCTTAATGAGAATGTCGAAGCGGTCTCATTGCAGTGATTTCTAATCGGGACTCGTTCGCAATAATATCTCGCATCAAGATCTACTCGGTGCTGTTAGCACTGACGCGAATTAGGGATTTGGACAAATAAGGCCCGAGGCACACGATAACCTCGTGAACGAGGAAGACTGTCATCGTATGTACACGTGATTGGGGACGTTCGATCACACCATTAATCCCACATGATATTCACGCGATTCATGCAAAAATCTCCGTGAGTAACGGAAGGGAAGCACGTATCGAGGCCCGGCAAGCGACGTTCTCCAATGATATGCTCCCGACTTGGAGATCGTAATAAGATCGCACGTGGCGTAATGTCGTCCTAATGTCGTTACGCCGAAATACGCGTGGGCGAACGCATTAGAATCCGGAGCGGATAAACGTTGGTGACGGACAATAATGAGTCACGGCGGAGCGCGAAGGGCGAGAGAGGAAGAAGCGAAGAAAGAAGAGGGGCTCAGGACTCGAGGAGGATCGGATTTCTCGCTGCCGATGTTCTCAAGAGCGAAGTCACGTCAAAGCTCGATGTTATCTGTTCTCTCTCTCTCTCCGCTTGCTGTTCTCTATATGTTTTCACGCATTTCCGTCACGCCTAATTTAATTGATCGCGCGAGGCATGTTTCGCCCGCCTATCTGTCTCCCATCTAACAGAAACTAACTTTCGCTATTTGGACGAAGTAACATAAAATATAACGTCGAACGTTCAGTTACTGTCACGTAACACAAATCGACCGAGAAGAGAAGAATTGTAACAAAAGTACTAGTTACAAAAATATTCAAGATTAAAATAGAGAAATAGAACTCGCGATCGATGAATCGGGTGAATCAGTGAGGGAAACGAAAATTCTGCACCAGAATTCTTCCTAATTTTAAAGTGGAGCAATTAGTCTTTTAGCGTGTGTGATTTTGAAGCGGGATAGTTAATCTCCGTCCCTCGGGCACGGGGGGCTGTCGTTTCGCGTATAAATTACAACGAGAGACGCGGCGCGCGGGACGGGGAAAATATTTTAGTCCTACACCCGCTATATTTAATGTCGCGAGGGTTGCATCTTCCCTTTGAGAGATGCGGAGGTGAGGCCTTCCACGTATTACATTATGGCGCGAGAATACCCGAAACCCGAGGAGCCAGACTGCCGGCATAGGTTTATATTTATACAAGCCCGCTCTTCCAGCTCCTATAATAGCGAGCCGGTCTCTCGCATTCTCGTAGCGAAATGCATTCATACGTCTTGCGTTAGGTCAAGCACTCGTGAGCGTCGGAGTTTGTGAACCTGATAAGATTCCTCATGTGAGATTTCGCGGCTGGAAATCGCAGCAACGTGAGTGTAGTCCTCGAGCGATTTTCCGCGAGACGCGGAAACGTGAAAACGCGAAATCTTAGAGTGAAAACCGATCGCCGACTAGAGATATATTCTGAAAAATCCGCAAGTTAATTAAATAACTCCTGTGAATTATTTTATTTATTTCCAGCGTCAGCTGCAGGAGTTAAAACGTTTGAGAAGCTAAAAGGAAGCAAGTCCGAAATTAACGGCCGCAATCGACTGTATTTATATCCCGTACTAAAGAAAAGCGAGAAAATCTATGAATAAAAGACTCGAAAAGAATATATGGCAAGTTAAAAGTGTGTTTGATCTCATTTCTTCTCCCCCTTTTTTAATTTGAACGCTTGTTTCTTCTTTTAATTTATATGCTAATCTCGCGCGTATCGTCTGTTCTTACGACGAGAACACATTACGAGGAGCACACGCGCCCCGGACTTCTAATGCCGAGAAGACTTCTAAGCCCGAGGCTAAAGTAGACGAGGTCAAGATTGAGATCGCATAAAAATAGTATCGCCGATAAGGGTCCAATGAACTTGACAATTAGTTGACTCGTGTGCGGAGCATCTCACACGTCGTTTCTTTTAAATATACAACTATTTATTTGCAGTGCACATGATTATTCAGAGACGATCATCCGTGCTTTTCGTTAGCAATTTTAAAGAAGAGCGATTCATTGAAATCAATAGATCTCGTTTATTTAAAATAAATTTTTGATCGATAAGCGGTAGCTCTCTTTAGAAAACGCATGACTTAAGTAGAGAAACTCTCTTTGATTATATTCCGATAATATCAATAATCTTTGGAACACATCGAAATCCGAAGTATGCGAGGAAGATAATTTTTGGGATACTTTGCTTCGAATTATTTCTTGGATCGGATATTATTTTGCAAATACGTTTCTCTCATCACATCCAGTAATTTAACAATTATAAATAGCAGATTTATATATAATTATTACAATCATTATATAATTATCATAATTTCTCAAATATTAGTGATCTGGATCACTACGTGAAAAATAAATATTGTTGCAAATTAATTATTTCTTGTAACGCATCGGATATTATTTCGCAGGTATGTTTCTCTCATCACATCCGGTAATTTAATACATATACAAATCGCGGCTTCTCAGATATTAGTGACCTGGATTTTACGTGGAAAATAAATATTCCCCGCCCACCATTATCAAGATACAACCGGTGGCGATCGATATATAAGCGTCGTTCTCTTATCGCATATAACTCTCAATTACATATGCCGCAATCGATATGCACGGGACACTCGAGACCGGTGCGACGTGATCGCCGGTATTATTGGTAGTGAGAACAATCGACGCTCGTATCTTCCACGAGATAAAATCGAAAGGTCTCCGCGCGAGATTATCCGAATCGTCGGTCTCGCACGACGACGGAATCTATTCCGTGCGCGCCGCGAGATTTCCCTGCCCACGTGGACGACGGGATCCGAGGTGCATGAGGTATACGTCCCGAACGAAGCTGCGCCCGCGAAAAAAGAAAAACACACGGCGTAACCCTAAATATATCGTCGACGGTGTCGCGAGTGTCGCGACTCGCTCTCCGACGCGATTCTTTCTGACGCGTAGGTATTCGGGCACACCTGCGCGAACAATCCGGCGAGTGACGACGGGCCGGAGCGGCAAAAATCTCGGCCTCGCGGCATCGAAAGTACGCGGGCGATTCCGCGGAAGAATAAAAATACGGGAGCCGTCGCGCGCGCTCTCGGAGCACGCTTTGGCAAGGCGCCGCCGAGTTTCTCTCCCGCTCGGAGGAGGAGCGGCCAGGAATAAACGTCAGAGATACGTCGCCGGCGACACGACGCTGCTGACTTATCTTGTTTCTCTTATGCGCGAGGAATCCAGCGTTCGGAAAGACAGAGAGAGAGAGAGTAAAAGGGAGAGAAGGAGAGAGAGAAGCGCGTGGAACGCAGTTAAGATCTTTCTCGCGAGCCTCGCCTCTTTTCTTGCTAATTACGCGACCAATTAGCGCGACAGTCTGTGAGAAGATGACGATGGTCTTTTAGGGAGATTGTGCCGCCTCTAAATCGGACGATAATTACTCGATTATTTGCAGATTACTTCAAAGACTTTATACAGAAAGCGCGAAAAATTTACATATGAGGAACTTATATATTCTTATATAATAATATTTCTGACTGAACACGCTGCAATATTTCGGAATCTGAGCCACGCCTCCGTTCTCTTCTATAGTTAGCGGCGATTTCTGTAATTTAACTCCCTCCAGCCGGAGGGCTCGAGCTTTCCTCCCTTTTTCACCCCAATTTCATTCGAAACACGTTCAAAGGTACCGGATTTTTCGGCTTTTGGGCAAAAAAAGATCGCGCACACAATTCTTCCCTGGAAAACGTGAAAGTTTTCAAATTTAAACCCGCCGTTCCGCGCGATCGTAATTCCTCGATCGACCTGTGAACAAGTTCGCGGCGGTAATCGGAACGAGCGGGAAACGACGAGTGAAAAGCTCGACGCGCAAAGTTGTACGATCGACGCGCCGAGTTCGAGAAATTCGAACGATTCGAACAGCTTGAATTGCCGCTGAAAAATTCGACTTTTTGAAGCCCGTCCGCAAGAAAAAAAAACGAAAACAATCGAGCCGGCGCACCGGCGAGTCAAAGGTGGGATTCTGTAATTCCAACGACAATTTCAATATCATTGCGCAGCTTTTTTACCGTATATAATACCCGCGCAACGAGACCAAAACTGTCGTTAGAGAATTATAAGGCCATTCATAGTCGGTTCTTGTATTTAAGACCGTCTTAAGTACGAGCTTAAGATATTATGAACCAATCACATAGCCGTATTAGCATCTTTTAAAACATTACTTAAGGACGGCCTTCAAATAAGAAACGACTATGAATATCGGCTCTAGAATCATAGATTCCTGCTATAGGTATGTTCGAGTCACACGTGAACGACGATTCCCCGATCAGCGAACGATGGGATGGATCATGGATCCGTTCCGCCGATACCGGTCGCATCACGAGGGGCAAGAGAGAGGAAGGGAAGGGGGGGAGGACGGGAGATTGAGCTAGTCGAGCGGCACGAAGGTCATCGGGTCAAGACCGGCGAGCGACGTTATCGGCCGGCGAATCGAGCCGCGTGTCGGCCGCACCGGAATTCTCGCCCGGAATCGAAGGCTCGCGTGGACTTACCGCCCATGACTGGTGCTGGGGTGGAGAGAACTCGAGAGAGCTGATTCTCTTCCTCTTCTTCCTCCGTGCGCCGATAGACTACCGGGAGAGACGGCGAAACAACGTTCCGTACACACCCACCACCTGCCGGCACTGACCGATGGAATCAGGAACGGTCCGCGTGCACCACGTCGGCGCCACAACACGAGTGAAGAGAGCGGCGAGTTGGCCCGCGCCAGCGAGTCGCGAGATACTCCGATTCCCCCTCCCCACGCCCCAGCCCGCCGACTCCCCGCCGCTTGAACGTTGCGCCGGGAAAACGGACGGTGCTCCACTTTACCGACGACGGGATCGCGAATTTAAAATACATTTTTAGGACCGATTTAAATGCCGACCGTGTAACAAAATATTATATTGTAAAACATTTTTGTTTTTTTCTAACTAAACTTTTTTGTGCTCTTTACCTCTTTTTCTCTCATATGTCAATTACATTTTACTTTTAAGAAAGTTTAATATTTGGGTCATCTCATAATATAAGTAGGGGAGATCGGGGCTAGTTGGCATTGGCGATAGAGGCAGGTAGACTAATCGTTAATAACTTGGCACGGATGCGCGCTAGCTTGCGCCAAAATTTACTATAGAAACAAGTATTCCTCCTTCTTCAACTCTGTACTAGACGCCCACAGTCGCATGTTGTAAAGTTATACGAGTTTATCGAAAAATTGTTTATGTAAGTAAATATACTTTTTATCGGAGATGTTTTTGTTTTCACGCTTTATGTAGTCAGAAAAGAATAAGTGTCATAGCACTATTTTGGAGTCTGTTTATTAGACAAGAGATTTGAGACTAGTTTTATTTAGATACATAAATATTTAAAGGTTAGATGAAGAACTGAAATAAAAATAGTCGTTCGGGGCTCGTTGGCTAACCATATTTGAGGTTAGTTGACTAGTCAACCAACGATTATATTGGATCTGTTTCTCTTAGCTGCACTGGCTAAACTTGTTGAGCCATCAGTTAAAAGGAACAAGACCCGTATTATTTTATACTTTAACTTTTTTATTACTAAATATAGTAATAAGCAATAATTTATTTTCTAGAATAATGAGGACGTACAAGAGAAAATCAGAAAGAGCTAAAACGTGCAGAGACGTCATGGAAAAAGCATGTCGTGAGATAATTTTTAACAAGAAAGGTATTATTGCAACCGCTCAAGAGTATGATATACCTTATAGAACTTTATATAGATATGTTGCTAAAATGCGAAATAAAGTTAAAGAAAGTCCAGACATCACGAAGTCGGAGTTACTTTTGAACAGTGTCGGATACAAAAAAACTAGACAAATTTTTACTGACGAGGAAGAAAACGCTCTAGCTGCTTATATAAAAACAGTTGCCGATATTAATTGGATGACCCCTTATAAAACAAGAAAATTTGCATATGAGTTTGCTATAAAAAACAATAAAGAGATACCTGATTCATGGAAAACGAAAGAAATTGCTGGACAAGACTGGCTGGAACAGTTTCTTAAACGCAAAACTATAACATTGTCAATTAGGTCGTCACCACAAGCTAAAAGTCTCTCCAGAACCACATCTTTCGACAGAAATAATGTAAATTTGTTTTTTAACAAGTTAAAAGCTGTATATAAGTGTTTACATCTTGGCCCTGAAGATATATGGAATGTCGATGAGACTGGGATTACGACTGATGTTCACGTACCTGATAGAATAATTGCACGACGTGACATGAGACAATCGGGAAAAATTACTTCCGATGAAAGAAAAACATTGGTCACGGTTGCAATTGCAGTTTCAGCACTCGGAAATACAATTCCACCGTTTTTTATGTTTCCACGAGAAAATTATAAAGATCATTTTGTTCAAAGTGGACCTATGGGATCATCTGGTGATGCCAACAAATCAGGTTGGATGAAGGAAGAAAACTTTATTAAATTCGCAAGGCATTTCGTTCGATACGCGAGGCCATTCAAAGCAAGACCCGTTCTTCTGTTGTTAGACAAACATGATTTATCTACTGAAGTACTCGACTACTTTGAGAATAACGGCGTAACTGTCTTGTCCTTCCCTCCTCACTCTAGCCACAAGCTCCAACCACTTGATAGATCTGTTTATGGTCCTTTGAAAAAGTACTACAACACGGCAGCCGATAATTGGCTAGCTTGTCATCCTGGAAAAACTATAAGTATTTACGACATTCCGGAATTAATTAAAACTTCACTTCCATTGGCGACAAGCAGTGAGAATGTACAATCTGGATTCAGAGTTACTGGAATTTATCCCTTGAACGAAAATATTTTCCCAGAATCTGGGTTTTCTGAAGCTTATGTGACAGACAAACCAGTCCCAGTCACTGACAGCAATCATATCAAAACTGAAAAATCATCTGCTTCAGAAACTAATGAAAATGCTATTCAAATAAGGTCTACCTCTAATACAAACAGGAATGATTCATTGCCTTTAAGTGAATCAACTAATCAACCGTCAACTTCTTTTTCGCCAGAAAACATATACGATTACTTTTTAAGCCAAGTAGAACAAAGAATGACGTCGTCATATTGACTAAAAAGTGACGTAAATAACTGTGATGTTTTTGTTTCTAATGTAGAGATCAGAATTTTTATTTTGTGATTAGAAAGACGATTTTATATTTGATGAAAACTTATTTCAGATCAATAATATGTCAAAAAAATTACTATATAGTTTTAAATTTAATTTTAAAAAATTTTAAGTTTCTTTGTAATAATTTAAAGATTTAATTTTTAAAAATTTTTTATTACATAATTCTCTGTTATTTTTTCAAAGCTAGTTTGACCAAAGAGATACCTGTCTCATGGTATTAATATAATGATTATCATATCAAAAATAATTAATAAATTTATAATAAAACAACTATCCTATATATAATATAGTTCTATTTTATTACCGCTGGATTAGGCTGCCAATAACACTTAACCCAACCGATCACATATCTATCCGTCAACTTGCCCCATATATTATAGATGTTAGTCAACTAACTTCGATTATGGCGTTAATTAGCCAAAGGTATATACGGAAAATATTTAAATGCATTAATTATCATCAATTTAAGCTAACTTAAAAATTTTATTCTGATAGTCAAATGTATACGTATTACCGTAGACAGGAAACAATGACATTTATTTTATGTATTTTATTAAAAATTAAACACTGAAAAACTGGCCAACTAGCCCCGGTCTTCCCTTAATATGTTTTTAAATATATTTTTGAAATAAAACAAAAAATTGGATATTTTAATTTTTATCAAAAATATGTTCTCCATTATTATTTAAACTTCTTTTCATCTTAATCATAAATTTTCAGTTTTCTCGCGATAAAAGTTTCTCGGTTTTGAGCTAAAGAATAAATCGGGCTCTCTTTTACACATTATTAATAAGATAACCCAATATAATGAAACTGCAAAGAACGGAGTTGTCATCTGGTGTTACAGCGGCTTCTAAAGGCTTTTACCAGAAGTAAATTAGAAAATTAGAGGGAAAGAATAAGAGCTCGGGCGGCTCGTGAAGGCGAATAACGCGAGGAGATACCGACAGTCACTGTAGATGATCTCGTGACGCGCGCGCGAGTCAATTAAAATTGATAAACTGAAAATAATATACCCCGTTGGTTACACGAATCACAGCGGAATTCTTATCAGCTCGTGAGCGGACGTAGTATTACGTCAACGCGGGTCTCCGAACGTTGAAAAAAAACAAGCGACGTTACGTGTCGCGACGCCCAGTGATTGAAAAGCAACTGTTACATCACTGCTGACCTGATAATTGAATCGTAAAATTGAACATGCTCGCGTCCAGCGCTGATGAATGCACGAGATACGACGAACGCGTATTCATAGACTCACCCATTCATCATATTCAGTTAAAAATTATTATTCGTTTAGATACGCGATGCAAAAACCGGTAAGAAAAATATTGGCGGCCGCCGGGCAGTTTGCCGGCAGATTCAACGAGATATCGCGGCAGATTTTAGCGTCAAACGACATAATCTGACAGCAGACTGTCAGGCAGAAATCAAGCGAAATCTGCCCTCTCTCTCTCTCTCTCTCTCTCTCTCTCTCTCTCTCTCTCTCTCTCCCTCCCTCCCTCCCTCCCTCTCTCCGTAATCAGATGACATATTTCACATATTCCACTTTCATTCCGTCAATCTGCCGTCATATTCCGTCGACAGAAATTCTATTACATTAATTATATAATATGTGATATAATATAATTCTAATATATATATGGCATATTTTACGAAATTTGCTTTCGACGAATTTTCGTTTCTGTTATCCTTCCCGCGACCTTTCTGCGCGTTAACAGGAATTATTACTCAACCGATCGACGCCCCCTCCTCTTTTCCTCTCCCTCGCGGTGGGTGGTGGGTGGTGGGTCCCAGTCGCGCATGGGGGTCAGGTGGGTTCGCGCCGGTCGGCGGTCGGGTCGCGCAAGCACTCGGCGAGAGCCCTCGTCGCGACACCTGCCGCGAGAACGGCGCGGCAGCGCGAGCGATTGCGTCGTTTCGGTTCCGGTGTTTTCCCGAGATATCGCACCGCGGACGGCGCGGACTCTGCGCCGCGCCGCGCCGCAGCAGCAGCGCGGAACGTCGGGTGGTCGACGGAGCGGGGACGGGAGAGCAGAGAGCGGCAGACATGCGGCGTACAGCGGGACTAGGTGCGCCAGGGGCCGGGCAGCGTTCGCGCCGTTAACCCGCCCGGGGGGGAAAACATCGACGACGACGAGGACGAGGACGGGAGCGTCGAGCAAGTGCGGGAGACGCGGCGATTCTACGATGTAGTCCCGTCGCGTGACATTCTCTGTCCGATTCTATCCGTCTGTCTCTGTCCACCTGTCCCCCCGTGTGTCTCTCTTTCCGATTCTCTCTTTTTCTTTCTTTCTTTCTCTGCCGCCGCCGTCGTCGTCGCCCGGGCCGGTGGACGACCGGAGGAGATCTCGCGCGCGCGTGTCAGTCGCGGGAACGGATCTCGTTGACGTGGGGGGAGCCAGGATGGCGAGCTCGCCCACCAGCATCGAGAACCAGATCGACAGCTTCCTGGAGCAGTTCAAGCGCAGCGCCTCCCGGGCGATGGAGGAGACGGCGGCCGCTCATCGCCAGCGCTCCGGCAGCTACAACGCCTGCAGCAGCAGCATCAGCCGCAGCCGCAGCGGCAACCTGGACCTGGAGCTGCTCGAGGCGGGTAAGTCCGTAGTCCGTACCTATTACGTTTCGATCTGATCGCACCTAGGAACGGGGGACAGAGCGGCGGGAGGTGACCCGCCACGCGGGCGGCCTTTCAATTTCCTCGCGGGAGAATTGCGCCGCAATAATATGTATAACGTAAAACACTGGCGGATCTCCTAGGGGGAGGTTTTTGGGTTAACCCCTTCCCCTTACAAATAAAGGAAATCAATTTTATTGGATCTGTTTTAAAAAATCTAAGAAAAAAAATGCATAAAAGTTTCAGGACACCAAGTTCTCGTCGAACTTGAAGGAAAAGCTGAGCGCGATACTAAGAAAAATGATCGAATCAAATAATTTAGGCGAAACCCCTCCCATTATCGACGTCAGGATCCGCTG